GGGCGGCGGCGTTAGGTTGATCGGGGACGAGTCCGTTCGGTTCTTGACGGCGGAGAAGGAGGCGGTAGGCGTCGTCAATCTGAAGGTAAAATATTTTGAAATTATTTGTTTATTTTGGTTAGAAATGGAGGAGGAGTCATCAGATCTAAAGATGGTAAATTTTATTTTGCCAAGTTTGGAGATGTTTTCTGTTGCGAAACTGTTGAAGTTTGGTTTTTTTTTTCAGTTCTTTTTTGGTTGTGTCGGTTGGTACTCTGATCATGTTTCAGAATTTGCGTGGATAATTGTTCTTTTAAGTATATCATGGTAAAGACGGGTCCAACTATTCACACTCCTAAACAGTAACTTTGGGATGTGTGAGGACTAAATTACCCTTCTCCCAAACCAAAACAGGCCAAGTCCATTCCAGAAACATCCTCAACATCAAAAGGGCATTTTCGACAATCCAACTCCCAAAATTACTGTTTGGGAGTGGATATAGCAAACATGGGTAAAGACCGTAAGGTATTTTTTGATGATTTCAAAAGGGATTTTTGCACAAAACGCCCCTTCTTGTGTTTAATTACAAATGTGTCTCTTTTTGAATTTTTATTTTCTCGTTCCATTGACAAATAATTGTAAATGATATAATTAGAGTTTGCAACATCTAATCCCATCTAAAGACCCAAAAATTTTAAATGATACCATAGTGCTAATTTATAATGGAAATCCTGTAATACTTTGGTTAGAATTGAATTTGAAGTAGACTTCCCTGCAAACTTTAATATTTATTTGAATCGTCACGCACACTCAAAGAACTTGCACCTTTTCACTGTTCCCCCTTAGCTGTAACCCTGTACACTGATGTTGTCATATCATGACTGAGCCCTCTGAAAGCTGGATTAATTAATAAGAATGCGTGGGTCACTTCAAACTTCGATCGAGGGAGGAACCCTTTAACTAAACTTATAATATGACGCATCAGAACGCACTTGCAGGGCAAAAACTGCAACGCTACAGCTCTACCCATTTTTAGATGCAGCAAAAGAAAGCAAATTAAATTGAGGAAAATGCCTTTGTGGTTGGTTGCGTGACAAAAGAACTGAGGTTTGCTTTCTTCTTATTTGGACATTTTTATGCTTTTTAGATCCTTGCGGTCTCTGAGTTGTATAGCAAGATAAGAGCAGGAGAGCCCTCCAGAGAATTAACAATAGGCCTTCATGTCGAGTAACTAAAAGTGGTCTCCTCTACTCTGGCAACAGCTGGGGTTGGGTCTAATATCTAAGTGCTTCTGCTTTTGTTGCATCTGGGTGTATAGTAAATTGGTAAAGTGAGGGCCAGAGATGTTTTTTTGCTGATTCAGGTAGATCTTTTTGTAGTTCTTTTATATGGGTTTTGTGTATTCTTACTCAGCAGTGGGTTAAATTTTTTTAGTTAACCTTTAATATTTTTGAACAATGATAAGAAATTTAATGCGTGATTTGGATGCTTGGAGTACCCATTAGATAATTGTAAGTAGTCATGCGGATAAGCTGAGAATTGAATGTGTTAAAACGAATACTACTCGGACTATATTTGATTGTATTTGCAGTTCAAGTTAGGTAGTATGGAATGAATTTCTAGTCTGATGTTCAAGCAATCAAAGGTTTTACTAGCAACTCATTTATATGATCATGGCATCATGCATAGCTTGAACTGCAGCAGTCGAGAAAAGAAGCCATTGACTCATCGTCATACTTTGGAGAGCTTGGTTCAGTACCGGATACTCTGTTAGCATTTTAAGTAGGGTCTTCGTATAGCATATGGTGTAGGAATTTCAACTGATATTATAGGACTTAGTTAATTTGTTAGTGAATATATTCCACCAATTTCTTTTGGCGGTTAGATTCCTGTTTAGTCCTTTCTTTTCATCAATCAAAACAGTATCCTGAAAGAATGTTACGATCATTGCAGTTGTTAACATTTATACCTATATACCTATTAGCCTTTGAGACATCCATGTGAATGGAAGAATGCTCTTGTTGGGGAATTTAGTCCCCCTGCATACTACGTCCGCAACTCGTAAGCCAACCCACAATCAACAAGATATAAAACAAACGCAATCAAGAAGAAAGAATACCGAGATTTACATGGTTTGGTCGACCAACTTCGACCTACATTTACGGGACAACAATACGAGAAATCCACTATGTATCAGGGAGAACTACAAAAGGAACAACTCAACTCTCATCTCTCAATCTCTCAATCTCACATATATAATCAACTCTCATAGTCTCTCCAAAACCCACTCCTTACAATATTTTGAACAGACAAAGATTGCGTAACCCTCTCCCAATGTTGTAATTTTTTGCACGGACAAAGACTAAGAAACCTTTGCCTCTTGCACAATATTCTTGAATTAAGCTACGCTCACTGCTAACCCTAGATTAAATGAATATTGGCTCTCTCCCTTCTCCTTGGTTTTTCCTCCAACAATAGAAGAATATACACAGGGAAAACCAAACCTTATCTCTAGTCTAACTTCCTAATTATAATAGGATTCAAACTCCTAATCATAATGAGACCTAATGTTCTAATCATGATAGATCTTTAACCCTATCTAATTCTCATAAAGTTATACAAAGAATCAAAGACACAATCCTAGCAGCTCTGTCTGGCAAGGATTAGAGGTCCTGTGAGCTTTTTGATCCAGGATGCGAAGCATTCCATGGGGCTCAGTTATTGAAAACTTTTCATATAATACAAGTTATTAGTTAGTATGAACTTGATAATTCTCTAATATTTTGTTTTCCTATATTATTACCTGTAGTCATGTAGTTTAGTTTGTAGAATGCCTTTCCTTCAATGAGGAAGATGGGCTATTTTCATGGAACACAAGCATGGAAAGTGTATTTCCCTCGGTTAGTACCTTGAATACATAATTTGACTATAGTATTAGTTAAAATTTTCTGCTATCTTAAAAGCGGGGTGTTGCATTTACGTACTATGTGACCTCAATAGTTTTTTTTGTCAGCCTAATGGCATATATGTGCAATTTTTTTTTATAAACTTGAGATGTTTTGTTTACATTCTATTTATTTTCATATTGCAGATCTTTTTTAATAACTCTAGTGGCATATACCCGCAACTTGGTTTGGAATTTATTTAGAGTCTCTATTTGTTGTAGACCATGTTCCTCATAATCTGTGATCCAGCCTATTCCGTTCATGTTGACAACAAAGTTAATCTCAGCTATGTTTGTTTCTTCTTAGATTTCGTCCTTTCGTGAGAGCAAGTCTGATGATAGGAGATTTTACATATTTTGTTCCACAAAGACGCTTCATCTGAGAACATGTTCAAAGAAAGATCGTGCGTCATGGATTGAGGCTTTGGTCTCGTCAAGAAGTGCATATTCCCTGAGATCACTGAGCAATAGTATATCGTTTACCCAGAATGACATATCCGTTTCGACTAACAAGCTTAGAGATCGTATGCATAATGAGGGACTTGGTGAGACGCTTATCAAGGACTGTGAGCGAATCATGCAGTCTGAATTTTCCCACTTCCACCACCAATTAAAGTGTCATTATGAAGAACAATTAAATTTTCTTGGAACATTTCAACAGAATTTTGAGGTAAATAGAAGGATTAAAAGTGTAATTTATAGAGAAGTTATTTATTTTTGATGCGGTTTTAATTATAGCAGTTACTATAAACTTCGTTTGGTTATGTTCGCAAAATTTGTTCACGCCAGAAGTATGGCATCAAACTATGCAAAGCATATGCTGCTTGGTGAAAAGTTTTTCGTCTGACGAGTTATAATGATCAAACATCGCGCCTACTTTACTGCAGGAGCTTAATATAGAAGATGAGACCACAACAATCCATGGGGGACTACTGCGATTGGTGAAAAATGAATCTTCTAACTCGGGGCATGGAAAATACAGTGGTATGTGGTATCTTCAATATTTGTTTTTTTATGCGTATGAAAGTAAACTTATCTATCAATATTTGACAGCTTATATATTTATTTTTAACATCTTAACAACTGATAAAATGTAGGTTCTGTTAATATTGTTAATTTTTAGGATGTCTTCTTATATTGCTTGTAGATGTCTTACTGTAGCATACTGATCTCTAGAAGCCATATATACTAGTTACTAGTTTTTTAATTATCTTGACTTCTTAACAACATTAAAGGTATTTTCACATTTAGGCACAAGCTAATTTTGAATTGAAAAACAAACCTGTAATATTTTATTGCAGCAAATACATTATGCACTTTTTGATTATTCTTGTTGTTCCTAATTTCATTCAGAATGCAGTACAACGGAATCACCTGATGATGCTGAAAAGCAAGAGTTCGATGAATCCTCAGATGAAGATGTAGCTGCTTTCTTCGACACAAAGGAAAGATTTAGTGATTATAATGGCAATTCTCCCCCTATAGCAAAGTTTACAGAAAGTGTAAATAAGAATTGTGCCAACGGGGCTAGCTCATGCGGCAAAGAGATGACACACTTTGAGGGAGAACACAACATTCACTATAATTTTCCTCAAGTTGAAAGGAGAAACGCATTACCTGAACCTATTGAGAAGGAGAGAAGTGTTAGCCTGTGGTCAATGATCAAAGATAATGTGGGAAAAGATCTCACACGTGTGTGCCTGCCAGTGTACTTCAATGAACCACTATCATCCCTCCAGAAGTGCTTTGAGGAATTGGAGTATTCTTATCTCTTGGATCAGGCTTACCAATATGGTAAAATGGTAAGGGTAACGTTGTGAATGCTATTTTATGCAATTTTTTTATTCACTAGTTGACGCCACGTGCACATAATTTCTGTATGTCAGAAAATCTACTTTGTATCGTTGTATAAGTTTCAATCTTCTCTGTTAATGGTTGCATAAATGAATATTTTGTTAAATTTATAAAACATTGTAATAATTGCAAAGCCATAGGTCTTCAAACTTCAGTTTCTGCATCATTAGACTGGCTTGGTCATCTTGCTTGCAGTCATAAAAACTTTGACCCTATAGTGGTTTTGTGACTACACACGCTTTAAAGTTTCATTGTTCAAGTGTCTATTACCTTCTACCCATTTTTCCATATTACCAGGAGTTATCTTTGTCATTCTTAGTCAGTGATTATTTCTCTTTATGCATTCAAGCCTTGATTGCATGTTGATTATTCATAATTGAGCTTTCTGTTTTAAAAAACCTCCTCCTAGTCCGCTTAGGCATACGCCTAGGCCTAGGCGGTATCTAGGCCACCTAACTAACGCCTAGTGCCTATGTGGTATTTAGGCTGCCCACCTAGATTTTACGAGCGTTTAGGGGAGCATTGTCTGCTTACGTGGATTCCACCTTGTAGGCCTTGGTTGTGATTTTATGTGTTGTAGCCTACACGTCCTTCAAACTCCATTAACCTCTAAATATGAACACCTCCACTACCTCCTCCGATCTTCAGCAAAACCTCATCGACCACCACTTGAATGAAGAAAAAAATTCTCCTAGACACCAGTCCGACATCTAAGCTTTCTATAACGTTGACATTCACTATCAATTATTATAATTAAAACCAGTCCGACATCTAAGCTTTCTATAACGTTGACATTCACTATCAATTATTATAATTAAAAATAAAAAAAGAAAACATCTTAGGCTCTAGCCTTGTTAATTATTATTTTGGCTATTTAGTATCTAAATATGCATAATTTATTGTGAAACTAATATTACTATCTTTTTAAAAAAATTTATATGAATTTAATACGTATTTTTATCAATTATTATAATTAAATAATTTAAAAATAGTCAAAAGCCTAGGCATACGCCCAAGGGTTTAGGCGCTAGGCGCTCGCTCAAACGTGTAGTCTGCCTAGCGTCTTCTGTAACATTGTCGAGCTCCCCCGATCTTTGTAACTACTAACAAGGTAAAAAATACTTTTTAAATATCTATTTAAGTTAGTTAACAACAGTAACTTAAACTTAAGAAGGGTAAGCTAACAGTAAACTTAAGTTTAAGTTTACGCTAACAGTAAACTTAAGTTTAAGTTTAAGCTAACAGTAAACTTAAGTTTAAGTTTAAGTTTAAGCTAACAGTAAACTTAAGTTTAAGTTTAAGTTTAAGTTAATATTAAGTTTTTTGTTGATGGTAGACTTAAGTTTAAGTAAACAGTAAACTTAAGTTTAAGTAAATAGTAAACTTAAGTTAGCAATATTTTAGTTAACAGTAAACTTAAGTTTAACTTTATTGTTAACTTAAACTTAACAGTAACTTATAAGTTAATAGTAATTTGAGTTGAGAATGAGTTTTTCACTATTGATATGAACTTATAATTTGAGTTGAGAAGTATAAACATACAAAGAGCTATTGTAATAGGTAAACCAAGCAATTTAGTTAATAGTGTTGATATTTTAGTATTTATGCATTTTTGATTGAGTATATATATATATATTTATCTTCAAGTATCACAATTAAAAAAAGAAAAAAGAAAAAAAAAACGCCCAGAAACCGCTTAGGCGCCCGCCTAGACGACTAAGCGTTGGGCACCAAGTCCGACGCCTAGAAGCGCCTAACGTTTAATGTAACATTGATTGAGCTCCTTAACAACTTGCTCTCAGTTAGCTAACTACTACTCTTTCATCTTGCTCATACTGTAGATTCTACAGATTCTGCTGGTTTAGATTACTTTGACACACTTTAAATATTTTCCCCTTAGTTGTAGCATATATGTTAAGACTTTTCATCTGGAGGGTCTATCTGGGCAAAGACAGTTTTACAAAACTATGAAGTTCCCTGAACTTTTCTCCTTAAAAATTATGGCAATGATATGAAACTCTTAGAGGACCTACATATCCATGTTACTAACACCTTCTAACTTGTTTGCATGGCTATATGCAGTACTAACTGCAACATTTTCTCATATGAAAATTTTATTTTATTATATTCAGGGGAACAGTATTATGAGAATTTTGAATGTAGCTGCCTTTGCAGTCTCAGCATATGCTTCTTCTGATGGCCGTCACCGCAAACCTTTCAACCCCCTGCTGGGCGAGACTTATGAAGCTGAGTATCCAGAGAAAGGGATCCGCTTTTTCTCAGAGAAGGTGAGTTATTAACATATTCATGTTACTAAAGTAGATCTGATTGCAGTTGGTTGTAGATTTCCTTTCACTTATTTAATCTTCTAATAATATCTTTCAATCTCCTGAACTTGTAGCTTTCCATGTATGTTTTGCTAGGAAGAAAAGAGATATGAACCTTAACGTGCACTTGCGAAAAGTAACGATTCCCACAAGCATGAGATCCTAGTCAGTTGTTTGACGAAGGAGGATTTGCTATGGAGAATAATAGGCACATCAATTTGGATTCATGTGGTTGTAGTTCTTAAGAGCATTTATGATTAGTGGACTTTTTTAAAGAACAACTAGGGCTGAGGTAGCTAAAATGATGCCATAGTTGTTAATTTGACAAAGGAGACGGACCATAATAGATCTGAATGGAAAGAAAGGACTTAATATTGATCAAAACAAATAATGGTGCTTGTAAGCAAAAGAACTGTCATTTGATCCTAAAAACTTCGCACTCTTAGACATGCATTTTATCTTTAAAATTATTGTCTGAAATGTATGTAGTACATTTATCAGTGCATCTGTGTTGAGCAGTTAACTTCAGCCAATTAGTATTACAGAATTATAGCTATGCGGTCTCTTCAGTCAATAAAGATGCTTTTACCTACTTGTCCGTGTTTCTCTTTTGAATGACCAATGGTATTTGATCATTTCTATTAACAACCATGTGGAACTTCTGATGCAATGCCTTTTCTATATGTACTTGTCAAAATTTGAGTTATCATAAGCATATTTTTCTTTTAACTCTTGATATCAAACTCTTACAATTCAGATGCACGGGGGTTTTGTAATTGGATATGAGCCTCTTCATCATTTCCATTATTAGGTTAGCCATTACCCCATGGTTATTGCTTGCCATTGTGAGGGCAAGGGCTGGAAATTTTGGGGCGACAGCAATCTGAGGTCAAAATTTTGGGGCCGTTCTATCCAGTTGGATCCTGTTGGTACATTGACATTGGAATTTGATGATGGTGAAATATTTACGTGGAGTAAGGTTCGTAGCCTTTACCTCATTGGAACATTTCCAGATGCTTGTTAACTTGGGTTCTGCTGTGCTTTGCTAATTGATTGGTCTCACACCAGGTCACCACAAACATTTACAATCTTATTCTTGGGAAGCTGTACTGTGAGCACCATGGAATTATGACTATACAAGGAAATCGCGACTATTCTTGTAAGCTCAAGTTCAAAGAGCAGTCTCTTCTTGACCGCAATCCTCGCCAAGTAAGAAGGAATAGTTTGGTGCGGTGCTTTGAAGTTATAAAGTTTTGCTGCTAAAATCTAATCCTGCTACACAGGTTCAAGGCTTTGTTGAGGATGCCATGGGAGCTAAAGTTGCTTCTTTGATGGGAAAATGGGATGACAGCATGTACTACACAATAGGAGGTGGTGTTTCTAAGGTCAGAGGTTCTAATCAAACAAGCAATGCCTCCTTGTTGTGGAAAAGAAGTGATCCTACTCTTCATCCCAACCGATACAACCTATCATCATTCGCCATTACCCTCAATGAGCTAAAACCAGAGTTGAAGGTAAATATGCCACGTGAAGTCATTCTTTTTACTTTTTTTAGCAAAATATATTCTGTTCTAGCTCTCTGATCCGGATGTTTAACCTTGAATTAAGGAGAAGCTTCCGCCAACAGATTCGAGACTCCGACCAGATCAACGCCATTTAGAAAATGGAGAATATGAAAAGGCAAATGCAGAAAAACTAAGATTGGAGCAAAGACAACGAATGGTATTCTCTCCAACCCTCTCACTCTTTCATTTCTTTCCTATTTTTCTTTCTGTGGAGAGTGATGGTGTTATGTATTAGATTTTCTTTAAAGAAATAAGCAAAACAAAACTAAGCGTGAGATACTAAGATCTTCATATAGTGGTTTACATTGACCAACCTCTTTGGCCTCAAAAGCTTGATGTTTGTTGATTTTTATTTACGTGTGGTTTGTTTTTCTCCAGTCGAGAAAGTTGCAAGAGAACGGATGGAAGCCTAGATGGTTCCAACAAGACAGAGAAGATGGAACTTTTCGTTATGTTGGGGGATATTGGGAATCAAGAGAGAAGAAGGAATGGGACGGATGCACGAATATTTATGGCGAACTTTAAAATTTCTCCACACTGTTCAAAGGATAGCATTACCCAGTGATGAGGTAAACATTGCCTTATTTTTCTGAGACTTGACTTGCACTACCAGTCAGTTTTTTTTTTTTGTGCTGTAGAAATCATAACTTCACATTTAATTGCAGATCGATTTTTAATTGGAAGGTATTGGTGTGATGCCCGTGCAAGTATTTTGCATATGCGCGGGCATGCCAGCACAGAAAAGAAATGGTGACGCGCAGCAAAATTCAAAATGATACGGGGGGAATTCAAATTGATAAAAAACCCAAAATGAGTGTTGAATGTCCTAAACATTTTCGACATGATGCTAGGAGTGCCTGCGATATAGGAATCATATAAACATGTAATTTACTTGATTTCAGTTTCTTTGTTCAAGAACCGAACTTTATTGAGGAGCACGACATTTTTTTACTTTGTACTGCAGATTTATCATTGATAATTACATACTGTGGTCACGAACACTGTTTCAATTCTTTTTATCCCTTCTCCCTGTTGTTAGAATTGCATACATTTATTTTCCAGCTCTGTTCAAGTTTTTTGTGATGCATGTTTCTTGTAATGGAATTTGTAATATGTAAAATTTGATACTCAGATGTAAGACATTGTGGTGTTTCTGTAGGACTTCTGTGTATGTTTTTTGTGCGTACTGTCCAAATTAATTGTGATAGAAAAGCTATAAATGTTGAGAATTTTGTTGTGAAGGTGCGCCCATCTTATTTTGTCTCCAATACATTTTTATACCCTCTACATTTAATATTATTAGAGGTAGCTGATCCAGAAATGAAGTGTTATAAGCAATGCCCCTACCTTTTCCTGCCATTACCTGTCAAATCTTTTTTCTTTGGACTTCCATAAAAAATTACACTGCAAGACACTGATAGGTTGATGGATTTTATGGTGGTCTACGATGTTTGTTGATGTGGTTGGTGTTCAATAAGTTTGGTTGCGAAATAGCTTTTTGGTATATTCTTTAAACTAGTTCTAGTATTGAAGCTTCTTCTCTTATTGAAATAAAATTAAATCTCAACTAACAAATATTAGTTATGTGATAGGATCAAAAATTAATTTCAACATTCCACATCACTCCCTCAAAAAATATGGCTCCACAAAAAATATGGCTCAATTGTACTTAAATAGCCAATACTTTTTCTTAGTCTGCACTTATATCCACCCACTTGTTTTTTGGCAGGGCTTATATACTCTGAATTTTTTAAAACTTGCTATTATATACCCTCACTTATTTTGTCAACACTTATATACCATAAAAGTTTATAAACTTGCACTTAAATACCCTAAAGTTTTTAAAACTTGCACCGAAAGTTTTAGGTATTTAAGCGCAAGTTTTAAAACCTGTAGGATATATAAATGCTAATAAAAAACAAGTGGGGATATATATGTGAAAGTTTTTAAAAACTTTAGGGTATATAAGTAGGGGTGGGCAACAAGCCATGCTGGCTCGTTCTGCGGGCCTGCCCATGCGGGCTCAGTGGGGAGGTGAGCCAGCCTACGACTTAGTGAGTGAGTTGTATTTTACCGCTTATTCTCAGGCTTAGAGCTCAGCCCAACCTGCTCTCGGGCCTGAGAACATGCGAGATGAGCCATGACACGGGTAGACCCATTTGACTCACTTAATTATTTTTTTGGTTATATTTAATTGTTTTTAATAAGTTTTTTCTATATTGTTTAACACTTAAGAATTATATGTAAATAGCAAATTAACAATGACATGATTATAAAAATTAAGAAAAATTAATTTTATTAAGTAAAATTGTATATTTGCATACAATTATAGAGAGAACCATCACGAGCATAGAGATTTAATGCACTTCCCAGCAAGTTTTACATCAATGAGCAACATAATATTGCTTCACTAGTTAAAAATGCAAGAATAAATATTACAATAAACTTTAAATAAAAAAGATATTACTGTCAACTAAATGCGAGCCCATGGGTTGGGACAAGAGAGCCATCTCGCTCATATGTGGGCCCAACTCGCTCAAGGTCGAGCAGGTTTTGGCTCGTATTTGGCTTGGACCGCCCCAGCACGATCTTG